ACACTTGGCCAATGCCCAGGGCAGGTGAGTTCATTGATTCAGAGCTCAGGCACAAACCCCTTTGCCAAACCAAGGTTTGTCTCTGCTCTCTCCTGTCACCCAGCACTGTGGGTGACACAAGAGGAGGTTGCTGTGGCTAAAGTGACCCCAGAGCTGACAAATCTCATCCACATTGGAGGATCCTGATGGATCTGTGCAATGAGTTTAACAGGACCCATCTGCACATGATATGGATGAGATATTGTATTGATGAATGGAAAATCAGGGAACTGAGAAAAGAGAGAAAAGCTGTTCCTTTGACTTGAAATATCACCCTTAGAGAAGCACTTTGCAGAGCCAGAGGGCTTGGGAGGTTTTCTCAGCCATCCCACCAAAGCTCAGCTCCACGAGGCAGGGATGGATTGGGTTTTACTGCCTCCTGCTTAAATTAGACCCAGCCTACAAAGGAACAGAAGGCAATAATGACACTTCTCCTCAAGAGTTTTCTGCATAATAAGCAGTTTCTGACATCAGCCAGATCAGGACTCGCCAACATGATGCAGCAACAAGCTTTGGCAGGAATTCTGTCCCTGGCAAAGCATCCCATTCTATTTTCATTTGTTTTAGAGACAGTTACTCACTCACCATATGTGTGCAGCTGGCTCCTGCTCCAGCCCCCGCAGGCCAGCAGGAATCTTTCCATGACTCCAACATCTTTAAAATAACCACCTTTCCATTTTCCAGAGGTGGAGGGAACAGCCAGCCCAGCGAGGCTCTGTCTTTTGGGGTGGTCAAGTGTCCCTGCTATGGGACAATACACATTTTTTACGTGCGTCAACCTTTTTGTGGGTTCTCTGGGATCCCACCCACGCTGACACCAGGCTTTCCCTCCCTGTCCTGATCCCTGCAGCAGGGAGGGAGCAGTTTTCTGGGGCAGAGGGGAGGCAGGCAGCCCCCAGCCCCCTGAGCATCCCCTGGTTTGTTTTCAGAGCAGCAGAGGCTGGCAGCAGCAGATTATTATGCCCAAAAGCAGCATGAGGTGTCACGTAGATAGAATACATCAAACATTACTGTCTCAGCGAGCCTCACACCAATCATTTATTTCTTTAGAAACTGCAGACTGCTCTAGTTTTATATTTTGCAAGTCACCTGTAAAATATATATCCATAAAATGCTTCCAGGAGGAGGATTCCTGCAGGGACATGGCAGCCTGGCCTTGCTGAGCTCCACAACCCAACCATCTGTGCTGGCACTTCTGCTCCACAGCCTGCAGGGTGCTCAGTGCAGGGCTTGCTGCTCTCTACATCCCTCACTCCCTCGGGAGCCAAAGCTGCCAAACCCCAAATAACACCCCAAAACTGCAGCCCTGGGGAGCTGGGAGAGCCAGGGGCTCAGAGTGCTGCTCCAGGGCTGCAGAACTGGGAATTAGTTCCACTTTCTGCTACATGTCTTTTTATTTGGTTAGTCTAATAGGCTGCATTATTATTTACCACATGCAAATCTCCTCAAACTGATTAAAGCTGACATTTCCAGCCTCGAAATGAGAGCTGGAAAAAAGAAATAAAGAAAAATTATTTCACAACTTTTGCACTTTATATTTGCACGGAGGATCGGTTACATTTAAAATTTAAGGGCCAGACTCAACCCTAAATCTCCTCTAAGTAAAAAGAAAGAGTTAATTCCTTAATTTGTTTTATTTCTTGCTCAGCAAAACCCAAGGGAGTTTAAGATGCCGCTGGTTTTGAATGGTGCTTTTGGATATGACTGGAAGGCAGCAGTGAATGCTTGAAAAACACCATGTTAACACTTTATTATCTTGAAACTCTGAGGAATTATGGATGTCTACATGGCTATGGAATTGCTGGGGAAGTAATTGTTTCTGGGTCACCCAAGGAAACCTGTTAAGTATTTTTCTGGATATTCTCTTCAGCACATGGATTTTTATTTACTCATTTCTGCTGAGGACCAAATGGTGCTGAGTGCCAGATATTTATAAAGCACAATCTCCATTTCAAATAAAAAGTGGCCAAAATGCTCAGTTAGAATGTGGAAAGCATATTTTTCAGAGATAAAGAGAGAGGAGAGTGTTGCAATGAGTTCATTCCCCCAGCAGCTAGGTGGACATTGTTATTTTTTGTAAAACAGGTGTGGAAAGGTTAAAGACCACATATGGGTGTGATTTTCCTGAGGTTCAGGTATTTTATAGGGTTGAATACACCTTAAAGCCTCCTTCACATGAACCTGTAATGAGAACCTCTCCATAAAACCTTGCTTACGCCTGCAGAAGTGTAATGTTTAGCTCTCCACAAGTAATGGTATTGAAAGCTTTCCTAGGCAGGGGTCAGGCCCATTTTATTGTAAGTGCAGATCCATTCAAAGTGCAAAAGGACTGAGCTAAAGGACATCTCAATATTGCAGGGCTGTTACTCCAGCTCCAGCCTAAACGACCTGAGCAAGCTGAAGGCAGCAGGGCTGAGGTCATTGCCCCCAGGGAAAGATCACACTCACAAAATGACTCAAAAATGGGGAGGGCACAGCTCTGCAGGTTTGACTCCTTCACTCATCTCAGGCTGAAATGAGATTGTCTCCATGGCCTAACACTGGGGCCATCCATCCACACAAGGGCTGTCCATGACGGGCATTTGCTGGCAAAAATCCCCCTCCAAATGGGAAGGAAAAGATGTTTTCATTATAAAATGAATGTGACAACTCAGCTGCAGTTTTTTGCCCTCAGCCTCAAAGGCATTTCTTGCATTCCTGCCTCAGCACACCACCTTAGTGTCCCTTCACGTGCAGCACCACAGCAATTCATCATTACCCAGTCTCCAAATTATTCTAGTGTTGATTAAATTAGTAAATGCAATCACAATCTGAAGCAAGTTAATTGAGAGAATTTATTTGGCCCTGACAGTTTTATGCATGTTTGATTAAGTATTATAAGGTTTGTTTTTGATTTTGCATAATTCAACTTTAAATCCTGCACTGGGTGGGGGAGGGAGCATCAACTATTAATGACCAAAATAAACTCTTTTAAGACACACATATTTATGATTTATTTCTAAAGGCAGTATCTTCCAGATTTTTTTGTTCTGTTGCCAAAGTGACAAATATGTTCAAAGCAATATTTTGAGCCGTCCGCTTCTCGCTATAAATCTTGCGAAATGTGCACAATTCATTAAAAGTTTTGAAAGGAGTACAAGTTAGCATTTATATTGCAACAAGTGACATATAAATGTGTATGTTTGTCTTCAGAGAGGGCCATAAAACACCCGAGGCCTGGCCAGCGGCGCTGACGGGGACGAATGGGCCGCTCTCGGGGCTGGTGATGAGTTCCACCACAAATCTCCAACGCTGTCAGCACAAAACTGTTCAATCAACAGGAATATGAGTTGTGTCTTTAGGAAAATTAGCACGGGGAAGAAATACAGCCCCGAGGGCTGTGGGCGGGGTCCCTGCGGGCTCAGCTCCGAGCCCTCCCTTGGGGTCTGATCTCCCTGAATGTCAAAGCTGCCATTCCTGCCTGACCCCAGGGCACTCCCTTGTTTATGGAGCATTTCAGCAGCTCAGAGGTCAAAAATGTGCCAGGCTGGGAATTGAACGGGGCTGGGCTGGTTTTTGGCACAGAATCGGGGGATGGTTTGGGTTGGAAGGGACTGAAAACCTTCCCTCATTTCATCCCCTGCCAGGGGCAGGGACACCTTCCAGGAGACCAGGCCAACCTGGCCATGAGCTGAAGGTCACCCTGACCTAAAAAACTGGAAGGTCAGCCTTGGCAGTGGTGCTCACACGTGTTTGGGTTGTGGGGTCACTCAGTGGAACTCTGGGGTTTTCTGGAGGGTAGGAAACCCTGTTCCCACCCAAGGGACTCCTGCAGGACACCAGGAGCCCCCAGTGCCACACTTCATTCAGCAGCACCCTCGTGATTCCCCAAGGCAAGACTGGAAAGACAAAGTGCCTTCATAATTTTGCTGCTCAGGCTGAAATTCCCATCTCTGGGTTATGGCTCCAGTCCCAAGGAATGGCAGAGGGAATAAATGGAATGTGGGTGGCTCTGCTGCTTCTCCAAGTCACCAAACAGCTGCCCCCAGTTCCAAGCTACTGGGGAAATTTATCAGCTCCTCACATCCCCTTCTCCTGCCACAGGAGGGGCATAGGGGATGTGGAGATGCCAATTTCCTGGGATAGCTCCCCAGAATTCCCTTATCCAGAATTCCCTCTGGCATTTCAGGATCAAACTGCCCTGCAGGGCAGGGGAAGGGCCCGGCAGGAGCTCCGGGACACCGTGAGGGTTTGGCCTGTGCAGAGCAGCAGCTCTGAGAGGTGACAGATGGCCTGAGTTATTATTATTTAATGTTTGTCCACCGTGGCACTGCCCAGACAGAAAGCAGGGCAGGGAGCCAATGCCAAAGTTGCGTCTTCTTTCCACTATGGAGAAGAATTCCTAATTCAATCTTGGGGAAACAGCAGGGAGGAAGTTGTCTTCCTTCCCTTTATATTTCTTTGAATTTTTCTCCACCTGTTTTGTTTTTTAAGAACTTTTTGTGTCTTTGGGGGACTCTCTGGACAGCTCTGGGCTTCCACTCTGGTTACACTGTACACAGCACCTCAGTCCTGGAGTGACCCCTGGAGTGACCCCCGGTGTGAACCCCGGTGTGACCTCCTCTGTGTAATCCCCGGTGTGCCCCCCAGAATGACCTCTGGAGTGACTCCCGGTGTGACTCCGGGTGTGACCTTCCGTGTGACCCCCGGTGTAATCCCCGGTGTGACCCCTCCCGTGTGACTTCTCCGGTGTGACCTCCTGTGTGTAATCCCCGGTGTAATCCCCGGTGTGACCCCTGGTGTGACTCCTCTGTGTAATCCCCGCTGTGACCTCTCCGGTGCAATCCCCGGTGTGACCCCTTCGATGTGAGCGGGCTCGGACGCCCCCGTTGCCAAGGCAACGCGTCACCGCCACTTCCGGCCGTGGCGCGGCGCGATGACGCCATCACCGCGCGCCGCCGCTCCCCGCCCGCCGCCGCCGCCGGAACCGGAGGAACCGGAGCCGCCCCCGCACATGCGCAGAGCGGGCGCCCGGCGGCCCGGGCCTCGCTCCGCCCGGGCCCGGCGCGGCCATGGGCACCACGGTGAGTGCGGGGTAAGGCCCGGCGGGCGGCGGGGCCCGGGCCTCGCCCTGCGGCGGCGACAGCTCCGCCCCGGGGCCCGGCGGTGCGGCAGCGCTCGGTCAGTGCCCGCCGGGCCCGGGGGTCCCCGTTTCCCCGGGGGAATCGCGGCCGTGCGGGGCTGCCGGGGGAGGCCGGGCCGGGCTCCCTCCGCAGCTCCCGCCGCGGGCCGGTCGGGCTCGGTGCGGGGTAGGCGGAGTTGGCGTTTCCGCCCCTCCCGGCGCTCGTCCCTCGGCTCTCACCTTTATTTGTCATTGTCCCCAGGCCCGTGCGGCCCCTCCCGGAGCGCTCGGGGCCCTCCGGAGCGCCCCGGCAGCTGCGGGCGGGTCGGAGCTGCCGGTGCGCCCCGGGAGTGCCCCGAGCCCGGCGGGTCCTGCCCGGTGTGCGCGGAGATCCCGCCCGCTGCTCACCGCCCAGCCGCCTTTAACGGAGAGGGACAAGAAACTCCGGGAAACGGAGAGTTCTGGGCGTTTGTAACGGCCTGGGGAGGCCGCCACCAGCGTGTGCCGGGGGTGCTCCCGGTGCAGCCCTCGGAGCTGCGGATGGTGCCCCGGAATGACCCAGCCGGCCCCAAAATGATGGAGGGGGTGCCCAAAGCTTTGTGTGGGCACCACGTGCGAAATCCAGGCTGGGGGATAATCACAGAATCACTGCAAGTTTGGGGTTGGAAGGGAGTTAAAAACTCACCCCATCCCATCCCCTCCATGGGCAGGGACACCTCCCTCTGTCCCAGGGTGCTTCCAGCCTGGCCTTGGGCACTGCCAGGGATCCAGGAGCAGCCAGAGCTGTGCCAGGGCCTTGCCACCCTCCCAGGGGAAGAGCTGCTGTTCCATATTCAGTTTGGAAAGTCTGTGCTCCCTGCATGGTGTTTCACGTGCCCCAGAGCAGTGTGTGGCAGGGGAAGGTGACCAGCGCAAGATTTTGTGTCCTGGCATTGAGTAGCAGCTCCCTGATGGTTCCCAGCATGGATCACAAGCTGGAATCCATATTTTGCTGAGTGCTGGGCTCTTTTTAGAGTCTTCATGGGCTTAAAAATTCATGCTTGAGGAGAAATCTGGTAAGTGTGAGCGTGTTAATGCACAAATTGAAAATGATTGTGTTGTTTTGTCTTTTAGATCAGCTGCTGTGCAGAGAGTTGTGAGTTTATGAAGCACCTCAGCAGTTTCTCTCACTCTTCCTAGAAGGTGTCACAGGAAAACTTCACTCTTTTGTTCCAAGGATTCAGTGGCATCCCAGAACAGCAGCGAGTTGGATGGCAGCACCCCTAAAATGTAAAAATTCAGAGTTTGTTTTGTCCTCCCACTGTTCCAGTGTTGATATTTGGGTTCATCCAAAGAGCATGGACCCACCAGAGGCTGTTTGTTCCCAGGGTGGGCACAGCATCTGTGCAAGAGTTTGCTGGAAAAGTTTGTGAGGGAAGTTGCAAGGAGAGGCTGAATTGTCAGGAATGGAATGCCAAAAATGGGATTTTCTGACCTGTCTTGATTTAGTCCTCCAAAAATATCTCTGAGAGCCAACTCTGAGCAGCTCAGAGCCATCATGTGGGAAGTGTGTGGGGTCACATGCTGCAGAACTGGGTTGGTTCAGAGTCTGAGCAGTTCCTGTGCCTTGCTAAAGCCACATTTCTGACTGGCATTTCCTGGCCCCAGACAGCAAACAGGGCAAGAGGCATCCAAAATTATGAGGCTGGCTGTGATGATTGAGGAGAACCTTGGTTTCCTAAACTCCTTACATCATAATTTAGCCCTTACTCCTTTTTGGGAGTCCCTGATTCATGCAGAGCCAGCACTGCCTCACATTTCTGTAAGGGCAAAAAGGAATTGGAACATGAGGCTGAGCAGGAGAGATCAGAGCTGGAATTTCCATTTCCATGGAATGTGAGGCAGGAAGCAGGCAGAGACTTCCCCACTGATACACATTGAATCAGAGAAGGATTTTGGTATCAAAACTTCAATTTCCTGCAGCTTTGAATCATTTGCTCTGTGGTTAGTTCTATTAGTAATGAAACTAAACAATTCTTGAAGTAACTCCTGAATTAGTTTTAATTTTAAGAACAGTCAGATTTTGGGTTCAACGAAGGAAAGATCTGCCTGGATCTGAACACTTGGGTGTGCAAGGAGTCTGGGGAAGTCCCTGTTGTTTTCCAGCATTATCTGATGAGTGCATTGTCATTTCATAATTCCCGGAATTTGGCACATCAGAAGCCTGGGGTGAAGCAGAGAGCAGCTCAGAGGCTCCTGCTCATCACTCACACAACAACAATGGGTGTGTGGAAGGATGTTAGGATTATAAATCCTAAACACTGCAGAAGATCAAGATAATTTCACTTATCTCTGCAGGTCCCCAAGGGGAGGAATAAACTGGTGGATGCCTTTGAAAGGCTGCCTGGCCCTGCCTTGCAGTGACAGTGAGAGCACAAGGCTGGCCTGAGCCAGGGGAGGTACATCCTGTGGAGTGTGAAAAACATGATTGCCTCATTGTTCTTCCCAGACCTTCCATTATTTTCAGTTTGTTTATTTGGTGAAGCTTTGCCAAGTTTGGAAACGAGCACAAATCTGGAATCCACTTGCGAAAGTACTCGGAGAACTCTTTTTTTTTTTTTTTGCTTTTAAAGGAAATGTGACCCCATGCAAACACATTAATATTACTGCTCTCACATAAATATTATTGCTCAGGTGGGTGGGCTCTCGAGGGTAGCTGTTAGATTAGGAATGATCTGTGAATTAGCCAGGATAATTTCAGACCAAAGCTCTTTTCTGCGTTATTAACACTGGCATTGAATAGCAGCTCCCTGATTGTTCCCAGCACGGATCACAAGCTGGAATCCATATATTGCTGAGTGCTGGATTCTTTTTAGAATCTTTATGGGCTTAAAAATTCATGCTTGAGGAGAGGCCTGGTAATTGTGAGCATGAGATAAAGTTTATAACAGGCTACAACTGGTGCTGGCTGAGGAATTTATTTGGAATGTGGCATGGAAATAGAGTGTGTTTGTGTGGGGAATAAGAAACAAAGAGAAGGCAAATATATTCTCTTTTTGCAGTGATTAACGGGGACCCATTGCAATGATCCTCAGTGTTCAGATCCTGGCATTTGCTTCTACTTTCCCCTGAACTGATTCATTCCAGCTTTCTCACAGAGATTCTTCTTCAAAACAAAGATGTTTTAGGGGAAGAAGCTGAGGTTTGGAAAACAGTTGTAAGGGTGTGCTGGCACTGAAGTTGTCTGGGATAAGTTGCTCTCTTGAGCAGCTTCAGGAGAACTGAAACTTTCTATTGTTTTTTCTTTCAGTTGTAAGGGAGCGCTGATACTGAAATTGGCTGGGATCATTTCACTTATTTCCTAAAGCTGTTGAGCAGCTTCAGGAGAACCAAAACTTTATATTGTTTCTTCTTCAAAACAAAGATGTTTTAAGGGAAGAAGCGGAGATTTGGGAAGGGTGTGCTGATACTGAAATCGGCTGGATAAGTTGCTCTATTCCAGCTGGGATAAGTTGCTCTGTTGAGCAGCTTCAGGAGAACCAAAACTTTATTGTTTCTTCTTCAAAACAAAAATGTTTTAAGGGAAGAAGCGGAGGTTTGGGAAGGGTGTGCCGATACTGAAATCAGCTGGGATAAGTTGCTCTATTCCAGCTGGGATAAGCTGCTCTATTCAGCAGCTTTAGGAGAACCAAAACTTTCTGTTGTCTGTGTTATTTAGACGAAATGTCTCTTGCCTGCATCATTTCTCAGCACCAAACCGAGCTGCTGGCTGTGTCTCCCCGCAGGTGCGTCCCTCGGCGGCCGTCCAGCCCAGGGTTAGCTGCGCCAGGCTGTCCCGCTGCCGCCTGATATGTGCCCCGGGGGTGGCCTGGGGCGGGCAGCGCGGGGCGGGGCCCGATGCCGGTGATCCCCATTCCGCGGCGGGTGCGCTCGTTCCACGGCCCGCACACCACCTGCCTGCACTCCGCCTGCGGCCCCGTGCGCAGCGCGCACCTGGTGCGCACCAAGTACAACAACTTCGACATCTATCTCAAATCGCGATGGATGTACGGCTTCATCCGCTTCCTGCTGTACTTCAGCTGCAGCCTCTTCACCTCCATCCTCTGGGTGGCTCTGTCGATCTTGTTTTGCCTTCAGTACCTCGGCATCCGCATCTTCCTGCGCTTCCAGTACAAACTCTCCATCATCCTGCTGCTGCTGGGGAGGAGGAGGGTGGACTTCAGCCTCATGAATGAACTGCTCATCTACGGGATCCATGTGACCATGCTGCTGGTGGGGGGGCTGGGCTGGTGTTTCATGGTCTTTGTGGATATGTAAATAAAACCAAGCGCATGTGGGATCAGGAGGTGACTTTTCTTCCAGCCCCGAAATGTGTCAACATCCTCTTCTTCTTCTTCTTTTTTTTTTTTTTTCTAATATAAATTAATTTATTTCTCAGTGGTAACTTTTGTGGATAAATTAACGTGCTTGTCTCTGGAGTTTGTATCTCTTTGATGGTCGAGGTGCCATTTTGATTATCAAAGTGCAACATTTGACTGGGTGTTTTATTCTTTGCACAGTGCAAGTTAGTGTGTCTTTTAATCCATAAGAGCTTATTTTGCTGCTGTTCCTGTATTCCTGTGGCCATGAAAAAGGCAGGATTTATCTGGAGGACAGAAACCAGATAATTTTGAACTCCACACTCTTAATCCATCTTCACAATTTTCCTAAAAATTGTTCCTTAATGTCTTAGGCATGTAATAAGCATCTTTCTTGTAGATTTTTGTTTTGCATGTTCCCAATAAGAATTTGGGCCCAAAATTCAACAGACTGTAGGGCTTTGGAATTTTTTTCCTCTTTTATTTTTAGATTTATGGAAGACATACATTTGCCCCACTCTCCTGTTTCATCCACTTTAAGGTGATTATGTAGCTTTGAGTGGCTTTGTCCTTTTCAGGCATTTAGTGCTGAGTAATTGAGTCTTTCCCTAACAGCACAAATCCACAGGAGGGATGGGAGCAGGGCTTGCTATCATGTGCTCCTGAAATTCCCAGTCACGGCAGATATGTTCTCATTTTGCAGTGATTAAGGGGGACCCATTGCAATGATCCTCAGTGTTCAGATCCTGGCATTTTGCTTCTACTTTCCCCTGAATTGATTCGTTCCAGCTTTCTCACAGAGATTCTTCTGTCTCAGGGAGCACAATGAGGTGAGACTGTCTTACCTAGGAGAGATGGGAAGCTGAGTGCAGTCTGAGCTGGCAATAATTGTTCTCTGAAATGACACAAATTGTTCTACCTCTGCAGCAGAGAGAGGGAGGGTCACTCCAGGGTGTTTGTCAGCAACAGCTCAAAAAGGCAGTTGAATTTTAAGCTCAGTTCTACTGGTCTTGATCTAGGATGTCACTGTGCAGTCAGTTAAGTAACTCTATTTATGGAGCCCAGAAGCTGGCCTAAAGTTTATTTTTATTCTGCTTTTGTTTGTTTGTTTTGCCTTATGATGGAATATTGCCTTTTCCCCTGCATTCTTTAAGGAACTGTTTGAAAACAAGTTGGTAAAAATTATGCAGAAACTTTTTCCCTCCCTGCACAAAATCTTCGGGGTCAATCATAGGGAAATAAGCAAGAGTGAAATTACATAACTGGCTTTTTATCACCTCCTTGGTCAGAGCTGTGAGTTCCAGTTGCACACAGGGAAAGATCCTTCCCATTTCAGCTTTTGAGTGGTTGGTGCAGTCTCTTGCTGACACACTTTGGTTTGGAGGCTTGTGGATAGAAAATAGAGAAATTTCTATGTGGAGCCCAAAGCTGAAGCACTCCCCAAAACTCTCTCATTATGGAGTGTTACAGATAATGCAGCTGAACAGCAGAGCTGAATAAATAATGGCCACGGTGGTGTGAACTTTAGATTAGCCCCAAGAGAGCCAAAGGCTCTTTCTGCAGCAAAGATGCAGCATCAGCATCTGTCACAAACTGGTGTCTGGAACTTTCCTCCCAACAGAGAGCTCCCCAGAGCCTTTCCTGGGCTTGTTCTGAGCTGCTGAGTGTCCTGTAGGGGTGAGCTGCAGCTCTGTGTGTGTGCAGGGAGCTCCCAGGAATGCCCAGCCCTGCCCAGCGCAGCTGCCAGCCCTGAGCATCGCGGGCTGGGGAGGCTCTCAGGTGGCTGTAATCCACATTTCCTGCAGAAAACCTGTCACAGCCCACAGCAAACAGCCCTGGCAGAGCAGCTGGGATCCTCCTTGGGCGGTGGGACCTGGTTTCACCTGGGAGCGGCTGAATTTCAGCGCTCCTTGGGTTAAAAAGTGGTGATTTTGTAGTGATTTGTGGTCCCGTGCCTGCCTGGTCCTCTGTGATGGACACACTCAACTGCTTGGCCAAACCTGGGGTGGTTTGAGGAGATAAAGGCCTGGGCTGTCGGCAGGTCGTGAACTTCTCTGGTTTCACGGTGTTCTTTGAAAACCCCCACAGGAACAGGGTGACACGGCCGGCTTTGATGTGTGTGCGCCGGCAAAGGGAGCAGCGATCATGCGATTAACACATGAATAGCAGGTGGTTCTTGCAGCGCTAATTTGGTCAAGGAACAAAGGAGCTGGTGGGTACAAGGAGTCTCACAACCTTTTTCATCACTTGTAATTTGACTGCGAGCCAACTGCTTTATTCCATAAATATGACAGCCTGAGTGAGCCTTTTTTGAGCTGTCCCTGCTGAGCAGCTGCCATGGGGGGATCTGGAGCTGGAGCCTCACAAGGTCACCCCTGGGGGCTGAGAGACCCTTGCCAAGTGCAGGTGTGGGGTAGGTGACCAATGTTGTATCACAGAGCATTAAATCCCATTTTGGGACCCCTGGGTCATTATCACGTCCTTGGTGAGCAGGAGATTGAGCCTCACTTTTACACCTCCCTTCAATAAACCCATGTGGGCTGCTCAGATTTCCTCTGGCCCTGTGTTCTGAGGAAGAAGGACGTGTCCTTGTTAAATCACAAAAAATAACCTGTGCCAAATGCCCAGATGTTCCTCCAGAGAGGCCCTGGGGCTGAGCTGCTTTAGCTCAGGGACTCCCCAGCATCTTCTCCAAAGGTGGCCAAGTACCTGCACTGAGAGTGCCCTGAGGATCAGGTCTCCTGTGGCAGACAGAGTTAGACAACCCCAACATGAAATCATTGAGGTGGCCTCAAAGGCACCATGATGTTGAAAAATCTCTGATTTTTGGTTGTTACCAGCACTTGGACACCTTGGTGGTGTGATCCGACCAGCACACTGGGGAAGTGAAGTCCCTGTGAGGTCAGGCTGGCAAGGAAGAGGAATTAATTTTCAAATTATTTGTTTTATGATGTAATAATTTAGACATTTTAGCTCTACCTGAGTGGAGCAATATTTGGCACTTTTCCTCTTCAAAGCCTTTTCCAACTGGAGCTAATTAAACCTCATAACATCCCCAGGAGGTTGCAGAGTAAGTAAGATCTTGGGAATGGTTCAGAATGTAAATTCATTTGTTTTAATTTTTTTTAAAAAAAGCTTTCAGGATTATTTTGCCAAAGTATTTCTTTCTTGCAGAATTGAGATTCCAAAACTTTCTTAGAAGCTGAAAGGGAGCCAAACCACAACTGAGGGAGGGAGAAAGAGGCAGGCTAAATGTTGTATTAAGTTTATGCAAAGAATAAGTTGAGCTTTTCCTCCCCTTTAATTTCATTGAAAAACCTGGCATTATTAATAAAGGGACCCACAAAATGTTGTAGAATATGAGTAAGGAAACGGGGGAAGTTGAACTTTCTGCTTTTCAACATGATATTTGCCAGAAATATTTCATGTTGAGCAGGTTCTTGCAAACTGTGCCTCGTTGGGGAATTTCATGTTCTTTTGGGTATTTCACTCTTTCCAAATTCAGTGTTGGGAGGAATGGATCAGGCTTTAAAATATATTAAGTCTATTAAAGATATAAATGGCTTTAACTCTAAAATTACTGCAATTTTCACTTCATCATTCCTTCATGCAGATCCCATCTTGAACAGCAAGAGCAGATGGCTTGTCTGGATTGTTCCTTTCTTTCCATGCCTGGTCTTTAAACATTGCCATTCCACATTGTGGGTTAAAAACCCCCTTAAAACTAATCAGGAAAAATATTGGAAATACTGATTTGGGAGAGTGTGTCCATTGCAGAGCCATCCCAACCCCTTTGGAGGATGAGTGCTGCTGGCTCCAGGGCTTGGCAGGAGTTTGGGGGATCCCTGAGGAGCCGCGTGGTGGCGAAGCCGCCTTGGGCCCGATGTTCAGCCTGGGAACGTTGGAAGGAGGCTGCAGTGTTGGAGTTTCACCTCGTTAACTCCTCAGAACATGGCACCAGCTGGTGTTTTGGGTGCCTGTAAGATTCTGTATGAAACATGCCACCTACATTAAACTTGGGTTGTTAATATGTTGGTGGATGGGTTGGGAAGAAAAAGGAAGGATTTCCTTTTCCTCTTCTCGTGGTGGTTGTGGGGATGTCCTGGTGGTGGGATGGCAAGGGGGGAGCACAGTTCAGGCTGAAGGTTGGACTCGATCTTGGAGGTCTTTTCCAAAATGAATGATTTTGTGATTCTCCAAAACAGAGCAATGCAGGGTAGAGGGGATGGGAGGAGCTGTCACTTCCCACTGAGGGCGCAGCAGTTCATTCCTGGGAGGTGCTGCCTTTCCTCCTTTCCCTGGTGGAGCTGAGCTTGCTGAGCAGAGCTGTAGTTTCAGGACACAGTTGTGATGCTTCCTATGGGATTAGAGGAATATTCCTGCTGTGGTGGACACTGTCATTCCTGTTATCCTTGTGTGGAAAGTACTACAGTGATGTTCAACAGCATGAAGATGCTGGACAGGACTTTGCTCCAAAGTCCTGGCAAAGCTGGAGTCCGTGGAGCACAGGTTTTGGAGAACCACGATGGTGTGGACAGGACCATTACAGACCAAACTGGAGACACATTTGTGTGGCTGGAGCAGCCCACCATGCCCATGTGTGCAGGAGATGCTCCTTTCTGGTACCCCAAGAGCTGAAGAGTCACTGGGGAGAACGTGAAGGGGAAGGAGGTGTCTGAGAGAGAGCAGGATTTGGATAAGGGTGGATGTATTTTCACTTTCAGTGATATGTGAATATCGAGCCTTTGCCATCCCCTGGGGAAGAACTTGTTTGCCCAGTTCCTAGAGGGAGCTTTGGGGCCACGTTTTGTCCCAGATTACAGCTGCAAGTCTCACAAAGTCACTGGGAGCAGACTGGAGAGGAAACCAGCTCCTCACCTGCCTGAAGGCTCACTGCAATTCTTCCCAGGGTTCTCCTACATCATTGGCTTGATTTCCCTCCCTCCTGGGGAGGTAGGAGACAGTGTTTACTTCCAGTTGTGGAG